TACCTATTAGAACTTGATACATAAATTCAGCAAGGTTGCAGGTTACAAAGTCAACATACAAGCTTCATACATGACCCAATTCTATACACACTTTCTATTTCTTTAAATTGAAGTGTAGTTGATTTACAACATTGTGTTAGTTTCTGGTGTACAACATACTGATTCAGTTATACGTACATACGTATATACTCTTCTCATACTTTTTATCATTATAGGTTTTACAAGATATTGAATACAGTTCCCTGTGCTACACAGTAGGACCTTGTTGTTTATCTATTTTATAGGTAGTTGTTAGTGTCTATAAATCTCAAACTCCCAGTTTATCCCTCTCCCCTCGATAATTATAAACTTGCTTTCTGTGTCCATGAGTCTGTCTCTGCTTTGCAAATAAGTTCATTTGTGCCATTTTTTTTCATTCAACATGTAAGTGATATCATATGAAATTTGTCTTTGCCATATGGTCCCATAATTTCACATCTGGGTATATACTCAAAGCAGGGTCTGGAAAAGATACTGTACACCTGTGTTCATAACAGCATTATTCACAGTAGCCAAAAAAGTGAAAGCAACCCAAGGGTCTATCCACTGATGGATGGATGGCGAAACAAAACATGGTATGTACATACAATGGAATAGTATTCAGCCTTAAGGAAGAAGAAAATCATGCAATATACTACGAGATGGATGAATCTTTTTTGGGGGTGGTGGGGGGAGAGATATTCATTTATTTATTTTAATTTCTTTTTTTTTTTGTAAATGGAGGTACTGGAGATTGAACCCAGGACCTTGTGCACGCTGAGCCTGTGCTCTACCCCGGAGCTATATCCACCCTCCCTGAGATGGGTGAATCTTGAGCTCAGTATGTTAAGTGAAATAAGCCAGTAACAACAAGAAAATACTGTATGATTCCATTTATATAAGGTACTTAGAGTAGTCAAATTCACAGAGACAGAGAGTAGAATGGTGGCTTCCAGAGACTGTGGGAGGGGAGAATGGGAAATCCATGTTTAATGGTACAGAATTTCAGTTTTACAAGATGATAAGGGTTAAGAGTATAGATGGTGGTGATGGTTGCACAAAAATGTGAATGTATTTAATACCACTGAACCGTACACTTAAAAATGGATGAGACAGTAAATTTTATGTTACGTGTATTTAATGAACACAAAATACGTATGCACAAAGAGCCATGGTTTTTAGCAGTATGAGTTTGGTGAGAGGGAAGAATGAACAGGTGGAGCACAGGGTATTTTTAGGCAGGGAAATTATTCTGCATAATATTATGATGGTGGAGACATGTCATTACCTATTTGTCAAATCCCGTAGAAGGTACAACACCCAGAGTGAACTCCAATGTGAACTATGGACTTTTGGGAATAATTACATGTCAATATTGGCTCATCGATTGCAATAAATGAGCCAGACTGAAACAAGATGCTGATAATAGATGACACTGTTGGGAGGATAAAGGGTTCTGTGGGAACTCTATAGCTTCTCAGTTTTTCTGTAAACATAAGACTGCTCAAAATTTTGTGTTTCTTTTTTTTTGAAGAAGACTTCACATTGGCCAGAACAGGATCACAGGGCCACTGCTAGCTGCAAAGGAGGCTGGGAGAGCAGGGAGCAACGTCTCTCGCCTGGACTGTGGACACATCGCTTCACCAAATAGAATTAGGTTCTGATGGCAAGGAAAATGAAAGGTGCCTCTAGGTGACGAAACCCTAAGTCTCAATCTGGAGGCTGGTCACCCCAGTGAACTGGAATTACCGTAGACTGTTCGCATCCCTGCTGGTCAGAGCATTGCACACACACGCCTAGCCAAGTGCCACAGCCTGGGCCAGTGACGACTGGAGCATCACTGCCTTACCCTGACCTCAGCCCAGACTGCAAACTCTGTAGGCTCCCGGGGAGCCGAGCAGCAAGCCAGTGAGGGGTCCTCAGTCTGCCACGCACCCACCCGATCTGACCCCAGGAGGCTTCTAAGCTGGCAGCTGGCCTCTCCTCACCGCCTCCTGAGCTCAGTGACAGCATTCAGCTCCAGTTCCCTCTCGGGGACTGCTCAGGCAGATTCAGTCTCAGTAGTAATAAAGGAAAATCGAAAACAAAGCATCCTTTTCCAGTTACTAAATTTGTAAAGTCTGACAACGGACATAACACACAGTGATGGCCAGGCTGGTGACTTGGCACTTTTGGTTATTGCTGGTATCGTGAAAAGAGTCACAAGCCTTGGGGAATCCATGCTTGTCCACTATTTGCACACTTCGCCAGACACGGATCAGCAAGAATCTGATAATTACTCAGTACAGCCTAGATTAGATTAGCCCAAAGGAAGAGCTGATGAACTGTGCACTTAGGGTCATAAACGTGATACTCTTTACCACTCCGGTCGCATCTCTAGAATCCTGGATTAAGGAAGATAAACACAGAATAGAGGAAATGTAGTTAGGCACAAAGACATTAACCAGAAATTTACAATAATGAAATATTGGAACCAGCCCCACCTTTGTCACTAGGACAGTAATGATCAATCTCTCTGTGGGACACAGCCCAGTGACAGGCATGCTAGTCAGAGAGTGAAGGAAGTATTGAGTCTGTGTTAAAAGTCAGGAGATAAAGTGCGATACCTGAGTGGACGTAGCAGCCCCTCCCGGGGAGCTCCCCAGTATTTTACAGCTGCTGATCATTGTTTGGAAGGCATTTCTATAAAAGCTGGTGATTTTTTAAAAAGTTACTAAACATGAAAACAGCAGCTCTTATAAGTGTTTTCCACTGTCATGCCGGAATATTAATTCTAAGTTAAGTTCGATTGATCATCCTCGGTCTCGTGATCGGAGAACAACACTAGATGAACCGTAACATAAACATTTCCTTGGAGGAGCACTTGTGCCTTTCTGCCCCTGCTCAGCGCCTTCACGGGGTGGCTCCACGGTGGGTGGTCTAAGCACGGAACCCCCGCGTTCCTCCCACAGGGATCGAGGTCAGCGTGGGCATTCCACGGTGGGAAGCCATCTAAGGGCATCTCTCCATGGGTCTTCAGTTTTGGAAAACTGCTTTTGGCTGAAGGGTTTTGATACACGTTTCAAGTGGCACCTTGTACGTGCGATGAGGTGTAGAATTCAGGAACTCAGAGCGCGGGCAGAGCCCTCCTAGGTCAGCACCAAGTCTCCCAGGGTGTCTTTCCAACCCCTTCCTTCCTGCGGGAGGGGAGGCAGAACGTGCATTAGACGACTTTTTTGGCTGTTTTCCTGTAGAAGTTATTTTTAAAAATAAACTTCCTTTTCCCCTCCTCTTCAAATCAACAGCTTTCTTATTTGACAAATTCGAAAATTAAAAAAAAAGAGTGTATGTATATTGCACTTACAGCTGAAGTCTGTGCCTGGGGCGTGGCCTTGGAGACCCCAAAAGCAAAGGGAGCCAGATAATGAGACCGTGGCTGAGAGTTTTCCTCTTTCACCCCGAGTTGGATGTTGCTGCTCTCATCCGGTGCGTGTTTCATGGAAGACCCCAGAAACCCCACATCTTGGCTCCATCTCTGTGCGCCTCCCCTGGGGACAGACTAGGTCAGAGTGGTGTCCCTGGGGGCCCTGCAGCAGGGCCCCGGCTCCACACGTCCCAGGGGGCTTGGGGCTGAAGCTGCAGGCAGTGTCCTCAACCAGCGACCGAAAGAGATGATGGGTAAGCACGCTGCACCCCAGTTCCCTGTAAGGGACCCTCTGGGACTCATTCCCCCTTCTCCTGGAGGTTCCCTGTGAGCCTGCAGGTGCCCCAGCCGGAGCCCACTCTTCAGTGTGCTCTGGTTGCTTCCATCCCCTGGCTCATCCCTGCTGCCTTCCAGTGCCATCTGGGGTCACTTTCCAAATGAACGATTTGCACTGGAATTCCTGCTTAGGGTCTGCTTCTAGGGGAAGACATCCGGAGATGGGGCAGAGACCCTAAGTGTGGGCTGGAGTCTTAGCGTGTGCCGGCCAGGGCGTACGGGGGCGGGGCTGGAAGGTGCCCAGTGGGGGTCACTGCACACAGGCAGGCCCTGGGCGGCTGACTCTCCTCTTGAACACGGCTGACTCAGGGCCCAGGGGTCCGCCTGAGCCTGCCCTGGCATCCCCCACTGGCGTCTGGCTCCCCTCCTCTCGGATTCTCTCTTCCCCCACATGTGTTAGGTGACTCCTTCTGAGTCAGGCCAGGGTCCATGAAACAAACACCACACCAGGGAGATAGCAGTTGCCTTCCTGTAGCTGCCTCTGGCAGGTGGCCACATGAGAGATATTCCCTGTGGGCTGCCCTTATCAGCTCAGCCTTGGCATGGGGGCCAAGGTCTGGCCCATTCTGGTGGTAGGGAGAGCCCAAGGGAGGCCTCGGAGATTCCTATCTGGACGGAGCAGAAGGTGAGTGCAGTGCACCTGGGCCATGGGGAGGCGGGGCTGCTCGCCTGGGACTCCCAGACATGCAGCCCTTAACTGGTTGGTGGGGACAGACCCTGGCAGGGACATAAGGGATTGGTGAAGAGTGAGGCTGAGGTTCTCACATCCGGAGTCTCTGCACTGTCAGACCCCAGGGAGCTGGTTCCCCCCTCCACCCAGAGGAGGAGACTGCTGTCCCTGCTGCGTCACTCCACCTCTAACTGTCCCCTCTGTTATCAGGTTGTTAATATTAATTAACAACTGTTGCTAAGGATGACAGAGCAAAGGTGTGTCCCAGCCAGAGCTGGCCTGGACCCAAGAGGGGGTGGGGAGAGCAGAGGTCTGAGGCTGGGGGTCATGGGGAGGGGGCAAGTTGAGGTCCGGAGGGCCAGCGCCCAGGCCCACCCATGTCTGCCTGTCTCCCAAGTCTCCCCGGGCTGGTACTTCCTGCCGCAGAGGCCATGTGGGGAGCTCACTGTCGATCTCTGGCTCACTCAGCTCTCTGGGGTTAGTCACATTGGGAAGTGGATAAAGGGGAGACCCCTGGAGGCTCATCTGAGAAGGTGGGGCCAAAGGTGGGAGGGACAAGGGAAGTGGATCATTAACCAGCTTGGAGCCCCGGGAGGTGCAGGGCTCAGCCCCATTGGTCCTCGAAACAATCAGGTGATGCTGTACCTGGTAGGGAGGCTGCCTGGCAGTGTGTCCCCAGTTTTAGTATATGTACTGCCTAGGTGAGCTCTGTGTGTTGCCAGGAGCCAGCCCTTGGTTGTCCCCAAGACCTGGCCTCACTTACCCTCTGACCCCGTCCCAGTGCCAGGATGGTAGTGGCCGGCCTGAAGGACTGGCTGCTCTGGGCCCTGCTCCTGCACTCGGTGAGTCCCAGTGCCTCTGTCAACTCCCCTGCTGTCCCTCATCGAGGGTGCCGGGCAGCGAGCTGTTTGGCAGCAGTGAGGGAGGGCCTGGGGTCTGGGGGGATTGTCTTCGGACAGATGAGGGACCCCGGGCTCCCTAGAGGGGGGTGGGGGTCGAGGGTCCTGGGCTGCCCAAGTCTCCAGGTCACGGGGTTAGAGGGACATGGGGTTGGGGAGGGGCAGCTGGACCGGGTGTGACCAAGGCCTCCCATCCCTGGTCTGCTGGGGACGTCCTGGCCTGAGATGGCTGGCTGGTGGGAGGTTGAAGGGGGATCCAGCCCTGAGTGCGGTGGGGTGGATTCCAGGGGAGAATCACCTAATGAGGATTTAGCATCTAGGGTTGGGAGGAGGTTGGGGCTCTTGCCCCTTGCGTTTCTTGATCATTTGCACATCTGGGGAGGTGGATGAAGGCTTTGGCCCCCAGAAGGTGAGGGCAGGGGAAGCTTTGCCCAGGGAAGAGGGGCCCTGGGTCCCTAGGTGTGACCTGCAGCTTGGGCACGGTGGCAGCCGACTGCCACGGTGTGCAGCAGAGCCTGGCATCCACACGGCCCCGCGGTTGGCCCTTGACCCATCCGGGGGCCGTTGTTTCTCAGCAGGACCACACAGTGGCCTCTGGGGTCTCCTAGGCGGCCCTGTTCTCACCAATTGTTCCCTTACCCTCCGGTGTGACCCTGCTAAATATGGATCTGTTGGGTCCCCTCTTGTCAGTGACCCTGTCACCCAGGGTGAAGGCTTGGCTGCAACCATCCATCCATCACTCGCAGACTCCTCCAGGAGCCCCATGTGCTCCTCCGGCACCCCATCTCCCCCGGTGCTCTCCCCGGGCCCCCTGGCATCATGGAGCTGCCTGGCCTGTCCACCTCCCCCGCCCCTCCTCCATGTCCTTCCTGACCCTGCACCTTCCCTGGCTGCCTGCTGCCTCGTCAGTTACTGGGAGGTGCCGGCGCGCACTGGGGCGCGTGGTGACGCTGTCCTGCTCCGCAGGCCCAGAGCGAGCTGTACACGCCCATACACCAGGCCCACTACTGCGCCTTCTATGACGAGTGCGGGAAGAACCCGGAGCTGTCCGGGAGCCTGGCTTCACTGTCCAATGTGTCCTGCCTGTCCAACACGCCTGCTCGCCATGTCACGGGGGACCACCTGGTCCTCCTACAGAGCATCTGTCCCCGCCTGTACACCGGCCCCAACACCACCTACGCCTGCTGCTCCCCCAAGCAGCTGATGTCCCTGGACTCGAGCCTGAGCATCACCAAGGCCCTCCTCACCCGCTGCCCCGCCTGCTCTGACAACTTCGTGAGCCTGCATTGCCACAACACCTGCAGCCCCAACCAGAGCCTCTTCATCAACGTGACCCGCGTGGTGGAGCAGGGGGACAGCCAGCTCCGGGCGGTGGTGGCCTACGAGGCCTTCTACCAGCGCAGCTTCGCCGAGCAGACCTACGACTCCTGCAGCCGGGTGCGCATCCCCGCAGCCGCCGCGCTGGCCGTGGGCTCCATGTGCGGCGTCTACGGCTCTGCCCTCTGCAATGCCCAGCGCTGGCTCAATTTCCAGGGGGACACGGGGAACGGCCTGGCACCCCTGGACATCGCCTTCCGCCTGTGGGAGCCTAGCCAGGCCGTAGGGAGTGTGATACAGCCTCTGAATGGGGAGGTTGTGCCCTGCAACCAGTCCCAGGCGGATGGCACATCGGCCTGTTCCTGCCAGGACTGCGCCGCCTCCTGTCCCGTCATCGCCCAGCCCAAGGCCCTGGACTCCACCTTCTACCTGGGCCGGATGGCAGGTAGCCTGGTCCTCATCATCATCCTCTGCTCCGCCCTCGCCTTGCTCACTGTCTTCCTCGTGCGGCCTCACTTGGCCTCCTACAGGGGCAAGGGCCAGGGCAAGGACAAGGGCAAGGGCAAGACGCCAGACCACAAGGCAGACATCAGCTTCGCCAACAGGCTCAGCCTCTCCACCCACACCTTCCTTAGCCAGTGCTTCCAGCGCTGGGGCACATGGGTGGCCTCGTGGCCACTGACCATCCTGGTGGTGTCCATCGTCGTGGTAGTGTGTCTGGCAGGGGGACTGGCTTTTATAGAACTGACCACGGACCCTGTGGAGCTGTGGTCGGCCCCCAACAGCCAAGCCCGGAAGGAGAAGGCATTCCACGACAAGTATTTCGGGCCCTTCTTTCGAACCAACCAGGTGTTTCTGACGGCACCTAACCGGCCCGGCTACAGGTACAACTCCCTGCTGCTGGGGCCCAAGAACTTCAGTGGGATCCTGTCCACCGACCTGCTGCTGGAGCTGCTGGATCTCCAGGAGAAGCTGCGGCACCTCCAGGTGTGGGCGCCGGAGGAGCAGCGCAACATCTCCCTGCAGGACATCTGCTACGCCCCCCTCAACCCGCACAACACCAGTCTCTCCGACTGCTGCATCAACAGTCTCGTGCAGTATTTCCAGAGCAACCACACGCGCCTGCTGCTCACGGCCAACCAGACGCTGTCGGGGCAGACCGCGCAGGTGGACTGGAGGGACCACTTTCTCTACTGCGCCAAGTGAGTGCTCGAGGGTGCAGGGCTGGGGGGGCGGCGTGGGCCTCCTGGAGCCCAGGCCTGGTACACAGCCCAGCCTGAGGGCCCCTGTGTGGCACCGCGTCTCGATCACAGGGGCTGTGATGTGTCATTTCTCCCCACGTTCCTTCTCGGGCCCCCACTCCCTCAATGGGGTGCATGCTCGCTCACTGTAGCCGATTTGCACAGGACCGTGACAGTCTCCACGTGCTCTTCTAGCAGCGCTCCTGACATAGCTGGGCTCATCCTTGTGTGTTCTTGGTTTAAGTGTTACAGAGCAATCTGATGGCCCTGCTCACGGGTCTGCTGCGTTGTTTTGCTTTTTGCTTCTGTTCTGGCCTGGGTGCACGTCAGCAGGGCCATAGGTAGTCCATGAGGTGCCCTGGGCCAAGGCAGGGGCTGAGCCTGGTCTCAGATCCTGCTCGCCTGGGCCAGGTGCCCTGTGCAGGCCTCAGCCACACACCCTCATGCTCTTTGGGGTTCGGTCCCTGGCTGCATCCACTTTGCTGTGGTGCAAACAGGATGCCAATGAAGCTGCTGTGCTTTGGGGCCGAGAGGGAAGGTCCAAGAGCTTCTGAGTTTGGAGCGGGGCAGGTTCACAGGCGTCAAGGCTCTCTGAGGTCCTCCAATGCCTGGTTTCAGGGCCTCTTCACACTCTGAGAAAAGACCAAGGAACCCAGAGAGCTCTTGTTTGGATAGAGGTTATATCTACCGACATTGACGTGAGAAAGAAAACCTGAGAAATGCCAAAATATTTATTAATTCTTAAAAAAAAAGCCCATTATATGTTGACACAAATAGCATATTTTTGGGGAAAATAACTGTATTTCCAAACAAAAAATAAGTGATAAGAGTAGCATTGTTTTGCATCTTTGCAAATCTCTTTAGCATCTTGCTTAGAAGAGATGCTGGATTCGGGCATCTGGTTCTGCATTTGGCCTGTTAGTTGAACCGCAGTGAAAATGCTTGGCCGCACACAAGTAGCCAGAAGAGGGAGGAGCTTTGTAATAGCGTTTCCAAATAATTGTGGGTTTTCTTTGATACTTCACCAAAACACAGCAAGATTAAGATCTTTTCTTAAATGTTAGCTGCAATATGGAATTTGAAGCCATGGCAGTGAACTTTCTGTACTCAGCCTGGAAGGAGGGTGAAAACGGCAAACAGCATCTTAGTGTTATTATGGAAATAGTTTTGACCTTGCAGGCCCTTGAGAGGATCTCCAGGGTTCCCGAGGCCCCCAGGCCACAGTGAGAACCCCTGGATTAGATGAGAGAGCCAGGGCTCCCACCCTTCCGATGAGCCAAGTCTGGGCTGCCTCCTTGTCTGTGCCTTGGCTCCAGAGCTGGCCTTCAGAACTAGTAGGTCAGGGCAGAAGCTCTGACCCCAGGTTTCCAGGCCTCAAGTTGGCTTTATTTTGATTTTGGATGCTCACAACAACTCTTGGGTGGCCCGATTATCGCCATTTCAGAGACAGGAAAACTGAGGCTCAGCAGGGTATGGTGAGCTGCTCAAGGTCACACGCCAATCAGCACTCCCAGACAGCTGGTGACTGACGGATGCGCTCACTCAGGATGATGCGTTTGCAGGAAGGGCTCAGTTGAGGGCCTGGAGACTTGTCCAAGGTTGCAGGGCTGGTAAGCTGTCCACAGCAAAGAAAGACTTCCAAGTTCAAGGCCTGGAGGATTCTGGGCTGGAGGGAGGAGGAGGAGGCGGAGGGCAGCACGAGGCCTGCGAGGCTCTGTTGGCGGTTGGTGGTTAGGACTTGGGGGCTTGTGCCAGACTCTGGCCCCCACCCCGGGGAAGCACGTGCGATGCTCACCCACCTGCCCTCTCTGGGACGAGATGATGGTGGAGCTGGGAGGGTCAGTCTGGAGTGAGCAGAAAGACAGAGCTCCTTGGCTCTGGTCAGGAAGCTCCAGTTCACGCTGGATTGGGCCGAGTGAGATTTGGTCAGGAGAAATGATCTGACTACGTACGTGGTCAGGCAATGGGGCTGGGGCCCTGGGGTGGGCGCTGGGACCGTGGTGATGGGAGTGGGCTCAGGAAAGTTCCTTTCCTCTTCCTCCAGCGCCCCACTCACCTTCAAAGATGGCACAGCCCTGGCCCTGAGCTGCATGGCTGACTACGGTGCACCCATCTTCCCTTTCCTTGCCGTGGGGGGCTACAAAGGTAAGCCAGGTGGCCCCTGGGAAGCCAAAGAGGGGAAATATGAGGCAGGAGTAATGGGCAGGAGGGGAGGAGTGGTGATTGGCTTTCCCACTGCCTGGGGGTAGCTAGGCTGGTGGGGGACTCCTGGGAGTCCACGGACCTGCCCATCCTAGCTTCTTTCTCTGCCACCTCCTTCACCTTCTCCCAGCCCAGCTCAGATTCTCTGTTTTTGTGCCTGGGCCCACCGGCTTTGCCTTTGGCTGAGAGAGGGAAGTGGGATGTAGCATGAGACAAGGACTTGGAGGAGGAGGGTGGGGGAGGACAGGCAGGGGTCTGGCTGGAGGCAGGAGGGGAAACAGGGGTGAGGCTGGAGTCTGCGGAGGGAAGCAGAGGTGCTGTTGGAGGGTAGCTGAGCCATTCTCCTTCCAGGAAAGGACTATTCTGAGGCAGAGGCCCTGATCATGACCTTCTCCATCAACAATTACCCTTCTGGGGACCCTCGACTGGCCCAGGCTAAGCTCTGGGAGAAGGGCTTCTTGGAGGAGATGCGAGCCTTCCAGCGTCGGACGGCTGGTGTGTTCCAGGTCACGTTCATGGCCGAGGTAGGTGCTGCAGGATCTTGGGCTCTGGGGAGACAGTTCAGGTGGCTTTGGGTGGGGTCCTGTGTCCCCATCCTGCCCTCGCCCCTTCTGAGTGACCCTGGGCCAGCGGCCGCCTGCCCAGGAGAAGGGGGTGAGGTGACAGCCATTCTTGCAGCCTTGCCGGGGTCCACAGTAAGTCGCTCTTGGGTCAGTGGGGCTGGTCTGTGTGTGTCCACAGCGCTCCCTGGAGGATGAGATCAACAGCACCACAGCCGAGGACCTGCCCATCTTCGCGGTCAGCTACCTTGTCATCTTTCTGTACATCTCTCTTGCCCTGGGCAGCTACTCCAGCTGGCGCCGAGTACCGGTGAGATGCAGGAGGGGCACAGCGAGGGTGCACTGACCCATCACGGCTTCTAGAACCTTCCCAACCTGCCTTCCATGGACCCCGCTCAGAGTGGCTTCCCCAAAGGGTGATGCTGCCTGAAGTGTTCTCATTCAAAAGATTACGCGAGTTTTCCTTACGGTCCCTGACCACGCCCCTACTTATGCAAATGCAAGGCTAATATTTAAATTGTCTTACAATGTGCTCTCGAGGAAGAAGGGGCAGGCTCATGGGGGCCTCTTGGGAGGACTACTCTGCAGAGCTACCAAAATGCAGAGGCAGGGAGCAAGCCTGCCTGCCCCCTCCTCTGACTCGGGCTGGGGGCGCGTCGGGCAGCCCTGCAGCCCGGGGTGGGGGGCGCTGAGCCTGGTCCCATCGCAGGTGGACTCCAAGGCCACGCTGGGCCTGGGCGGCGTGGCCGTGGTGCTGGGAGCAGTCGTGGCCTCCATGGGCTTCTTCTCCTACCTGGGAATCCCCTCCTCACTGGTGATCCTGCAAGTGGTGCCTTTCCTGGTGCTGGCCGTGGGGGCCGACAACATCTTCATCTTTGTTCTCGAGTACCAGGTGAGACGGCAGGAGCTTTGCGGGCCCCCAACCCCCCCTCCACGCCCGGGCGCAGCCCTGCGTGGGTCTGCTGGGCTTCCCGCAGCCTCTTCCTCCGCACTAACGTCCGTGTGTGCAATTCCTGTAGCAAACAGTGCTTCGGCTTTATTTATCTGCACACATACTGCGTTTATCACCTGAACTTGCTCCCAACCTGCCCCACATGCTATCTCGTAAGACCGTCACACACACAGAACATAGAGCCACCTCTGTCTTTGTTCTACTAAGTAACATTCCACGGAAGCACAAGTCAGAATCTATTTAGCCTCTCCTGTTCCAGCGATGTGTCAGAGTAAGGATGGTATAAACATTCCAAAACATGCTGAGCATTTCTCTGGGCCGTATCTTCAGAAGTGGAAGATGTGGCAGAGCAGACTGTTAGCAGGATCTGCTCCCAAGTGGGGAAGGTGGGGCCAGTTTTTCAGCCCTGGCTAGGTGTCCAGGTGATGGCTGTGCCTAGGGGAGCAAGAGGAGCTCCCTGCTGGCCTGCGAGGGACAGAGCCCTTGGCCAGATCTCGACCTTGTCCCTGGCGTCCGCACACAGAGGCTGCCTCGGAGGCCCGGAGAGGAGCGGGAGGCCCACATCGGCAGAGCCCTGGGCAGAGTGGCCCCCAGCATGCTGCTCTGCAGCCTCTCTGAGGCCGTCTGCTTCTTCCTAGGTGAGCCTGGGCAGCCCGTCCCCACCCGGCACTGGGAGTCCTTGGGGGCAGTGGGTGCAGGCAGCCCCCTTCCCTCTGCACCCATCTGAGCAGACACCAGGCCCTGAGGTTCACCCCTGCCACCCCCCACGCCTCCAGGAGCCCTGACCCCCATGCCAGCTGTGCGGACCTTCGCCCTGACCTCCGGCTTTGCGGTGCTTCTGGACTTCCTGCTGCAGATGTCGGCCTTCGTGGCCCTGCTCTCCCTCGACAGCAGGAGGCAGGAGGTAGGGGCAGTGGAGCATCTGTGGACCTGCCCTTGGCTCCCACCTTGGCCAGGGATAGTGTGACCTTGACGCAGGAAAAACGGATGTGGGGCATGAAGAGGGCCGTGTCTTAGGTCTTGGTTGAGCCCCTGGGACGTGTCCCGCCAAGAGTGGGTCCTTGGCTTCGCGCAGGAAAGAATTCAAGAGCAAGCCACAGCTGAGTGAAGGTAGATTTATTTAGAGGGATACATCAAAAGGCAACAGAAAGGCCATGAGGTGTGGGGGTTGGGTGCACAGATTAGAGTAAAAGAAGGTACACACTCCACAGACAGAGTGCGGGCCGTCTCCGAAGAGGGAGACAGAAAGGGTGGTGAGGGGCAGTGTTGCCAGTTGTTATGGGCTTCGTAGCTTCATATGCTAATACGTGGAAGGACCAGTCTAACTACCCTGGGGAAGGCGCTGGGATTCCCAGGAAGTTGACCATTTCCCACTCTTTGGCCTTTTGTGGCTAGCCTTGGGACTGCCATGGCGCCTGTGGGCGTGTTATTCACCACATTAATATCTTACAATGGGCGTATAATGAAGCTCAAGGAAGTCAAATCTCCCACTGTCTTGAGCCTCAAGGCCTCCTGGGGGTTGAATTCTCAGCCATCCTGATGTTAATTGCTGTGTTGTTCCTTGAATGGCTGTGGCCTGCCCCTTCCCTGTCTCGACCTCACTTTGCAGAGAAGGCTTAGAGCATGGGGATGAGCGCAGGAATCGTGTGCTGGAATGTCCCCGATGTCCCGTAGAAAAGTAATCTCATTTTGGTAACTGGGGAGAATATGATCAAACCTCCTAAAGTACATGAAGTCACGAAATAAAATACAGATGAGAGACTGACAGGGAGGGAGCTATTGTTTCTACGATGGTGCAAAATTCAAAGGTATTTTAATCAAGGTAGCAACAAAGACAAAGAAAACAGCACATTGGCCTGTCTCCACTGCGCGGTGGTGGCACAGGCCACCTGCAGAAGGTGGCACTCCCACAGGAGGGAGGTAGTCCCCGGGATCGGTTTTGGGTCTACCTCGTATTGTTGGTCTTTTGAGGGGCAGGTAATTAGGTTTCTTCATTTATTTCAGCTTGGAGGAGGTACCGAGGATTGAACCTGGGGCCTCTTGTGTGTTGAGCACGCACTCTACCACTTGAGCTATATACCCTTTCCCCTGTTTTGGGGCCACTTTGAGTGCCTGTCTCCTTCCAGGCCTCCCGAATGGACATCTGCTGCTGCAAACGTGCCCGGGAGCTGCCCCCGCCCAGCCAGAACGAGGGGCTTCTGCTCCGATTCTTCCGCAAGGTCTACGCCCCGCTCCTGTTGCACCGGGTCACCCGTGTGGTCGTGGTGAGTGGGGCGAGAGGGGCAGCTGGGGGACCTCGCACCACCTGGGGTCAGGGGGCAGGAGGATCTGGTCAGCTTTGACCCTCACCTTGCCCGTCGTTGGAGGGGTCTCGAGCTTGCCCAGGTCCAGCTGCCGAAGCACAGCGGGCGGCTGAGATTGCAGTCTGTCCAACTCCAGAATGTGTCCCATGGACCGCAGCCAGATCCAGACTGGGAGATGGCGGGGAGCTGTTGCGCAGGGAGACTCACACGGTGGTGTCCTCCCCAGGTGCTGCTCTTCCTGGCCCTGTTTGGAGCAAGTCTCTATTTAATGTGCAACATCAGCGTGGGATTGGACCAGGAGCTGGCCCTGCCCAAGGTGAGCTGGGGGGGTCCAGTGTGTGCCCTCCTTTCCCTGCCCTCTGTCCCCTGGGGTGTGGGGAAGGCCAGCAGCATACAGCAGGTGGGGCGGCATGGACCAGGGGCTTGGTGGGGGACCGCTCACTGCCTGGAGCTGGGAGGAGAAGCCGCATCACGGAAGGGTCAGGAGCTCTGTGCAGCACCCCCTCCCCACCGCCCCAGGCTGCATGAGGGAGGCCACCGGGCATCCAAGAGGCTGGCCATGGGAGATGATCATCTGGGCAGGATCGCTGAGGGCCTGCCTTCTGCTGGGCACTGCGCATCCTCAGTCCCAGGCTCCGCAGCTGCCCACGTCACTGCACTGTCCTCTGAAAGGCAGTGAGGGTCGGGGGCTCTGGGGAAGGAGAGACCTCTGTGGCTCAAGGGGTCTGAGAGAGCCCTGGGAAGAGGAGAGGTTCAGGGGCATCTGAGCACGAGTAGGATTGTGGAGGAAAGCAGCGAGGGTGACAGCTCTGTCCCGTGGGAGGCTGGGGCGCGCCAACGTGCATTTCCTGGGTGTGGGAGTGACTGCAGGTGTTAGGAGGAGTGGGGGTTGAGCCCAAGAGCTGGAAGCCAGGAGTTGGGGGGGTGGGGATTGCCAGGTCGGGGCCAGCAAGCTTGTCGGGTTGACAGGTTGTGTTCCCTGGCCTCACAACCACGCGAGGCCAGGAACCCATGGCTCTGGATGGGCCTCCTGGGAAAAGAGAGCATCATGGGAGTTTGGACATCCAGGACCACTCTGGGGGTGGTGACAGGAGTCCGGGGGCTGGCAGGAGCCCTGGAATGAGTAGTCTGCGTAGCGATCTGCAGGTGGGGCTGATCTTGGAAGCAAGATGAGGAGGGAGGAGAGCAGACAGCCAGGACAGCACCTTTGAGCTACCAAAGGGAGCAAGATGAGGTGGCAAAATCAGCGAGGGTCCAGAATGACCCTGCCACCCATAGCGGCCCTGGGGGCTGCTCACAGAGCTGTGGAGAAGGGGGTCCCTAGTGCCCCCAGAATGGGTATCAGGGGTCTGGTGGGCCAAGCCAGTGAGCAAGAAAGAAGGTGGTAATGGGCTACAAGACCAGGCTGAGACCCAGTTTAGGCTCTCTCTTTATTTTTTTCTAGAGATTTATTTGTTTCTTCCAACTTTATAAAATTTGTTTTTTTTTCAGGTAAAATACACATAATATAAAATTTGCCATTTTAACCATTTTTAAGTGGCATTAAATATATTTACCTTGTGGTGCAACCGTCACCATCTCCATAGCTCTATCCTCCTGCGAAATTGAGGCTCTGTCCCTGTGAAACGCTAACTCCTCATTCCTCCTCCCCCAGCCCCTGCACCCACCATTCTACTTTGTCTCTGAATTTGACTCTTCTAGGCACCTCATGTAAGTGAAAATGGCTGTTATTTGTCCTTTTGTGATGAGCTTATTTCACTTACCATTATGTCCGCGAGTTTCAGCCAGATTGTAACGCTAAATCATATGGCAATTCTATTTTTAATTTCTTTTGCTTTTGCTTTTATTTTATTTTTTATTGAAGTATAGTTGATTTACATACTTTAAATTTTTTGAGGAGCCTCCATACTGTTTTCCATAGTAGCTGTACCATTTTACATTTCTATCCAACAATGAATAAGGGTTCCGGTTTCTCCACATCTTCACCAACACTTGTTGTTTTCTGTTTGTTTGTTTGTTTCTTTCTTGGTAATAGCCATCCTAAGGAGTGTGAGGTGGTATCTCATTGTGGTTTTGATTTGCATTTCCCTAATGATTAGTGATGCTAAGAATCTTTTCATGTATTTATTGGCCACTTGTATATCTCCTTTGGAGAAATGTCTTGATTCAGGTCTTTTGCCCATTTCTGAATCAGGTTGAATTTTGTGGTTATGAGTTTTAAGAGTTCTCTAGCTATTCTGGATATTAATTCCTTATCAGATATGTGACGTGAATATTTTCTTCATTTGTTGGTTGCTTTTTCACTCTATTGGCAGTGTCCTTTGATGCACAAAGTTTTTAATTTTCATGAAGTCTAATTTGTCTATTTTTCTTTATGTTGACCGTGCCTTGGTGTCATATTCAAGACTAAATTATTGTCAAATCCAATGTCTTGAAGGTTTTTTCCCCATATTTTCTTTCAAGAATTTTATAGTTTTAACTCTTAAGTTTAGGTTTTGGATCCATTTTTGGGTTAATTTTTATATATAATTATGTATATTTTGAGGATCCAACTCCATCCTTTTTAATGTAGGCATTCAGTTTTCCTAGCACCATCTGTTGGTGGGCATGGTCTTGCCTTCCTTGTCAAAAATTATTTGACCATATGTGTGAGGGTCTATTTCTGGGCTGTCTATTCTATTCCATTGGTCTATGTGTCTGTATTTATGCCAGTACCACACTGCTTTGATTACTGTATCTTCGTGGTAAATTTTGAAATTAGGAAGTGTGAGCCCTTCACCTTTGCTCTTCTTTGCCAAGATTGTTGAGTTCTTTAGGGTCCCTTTGAGACTTCAATATGAATTTTGGGATGGATTTTTTTTTAATTTTTCTTTTTCTTTTTTGCTTTTCTGAACCATTTTATTTATTTATTTATTGTCAATATTATTATTTTTCCAGGGGGAAGTAATTTAAGTTTATTTATTTATTTGTTTATTTTTGATGGAGGTACTGGGGATTGAACCCAGGACCTCATGCATACAAGGAATGCACTCTTCCACTTGAGCTACACCCTCCCCCCCAAGATTTTTCTATTTATGCAAAAAACATCACTGGGATTTCGCAAGGGATTTTACTGAATCTACAGATTGCTTTGGGCATCACTGACATCTTAACAATATTGTCTTCCGACTCATGAACACTGGATCTTTCCATTTATTTATGTTTTCTTTCATTTGTTTCAGCAATGTTTTATAGTTTTCAGTGTATAAGTCTTTCATCTCCTTGGTGAAGTTAACGCCTAAGTATTATATGATGCTATAGTAAATGAAATTATTTTCTTAATTCCCTTTTTGGATTACTCATTGCTCATGTATTGAAATACAACTGATTTCTGTGTGTTGATTTTGTAACCTGCAACTTTGCTGAATTTTTAAAATTAATTCTAACAGGTTTTTTTGTGGAGTTTTAAAGCCATATACATATATATATATACACACACATACACACACGTATATATACACACATACATATATATACACACATACGCATACATAGTCATGTATTTTATGAACCAATATCATTTGACTTCTCCTTTCCAGTTTAGATGCCTTTAATGTCTTTTTGCTGTCTAACTGCTGTGGCAACAACTTCCAGCCTATGCTGAATAGAAGTGTTGAAAGCAGGCATCCTCATATTGCTCTCAATCTCAGAGGAAATGCTTTCAGTCTTGCATCATTGAATATGATATTAGTTGTAGAATTTTCACATATGGCTTTTATCATGTCGAGGAACTTTCCTGTATTCCTGCTTTTCTGAGTTTTTTTTTTTAATTATAAAAGGATGTGAGATTTTGTCAAATGTTTTCTCTATATCAGTTGAGAAGATCATGTGATTTTCTCCCCATTCTATTAATGTGGTGTATTACATTGACTGATTTTCATGTGTTAAAACATTCTCGCATTCTGGAAATAAATCCCACTTGGTCATATTGTATAATCCGTTTAATATATTGTTGAATTCAATTTGCTAGTATTTCGTTGAGGATTTGTTGCATCAGTATTTATAAGGGATATTTGTCTGTGGTTTTTCTTTTCCTGTAGTGTCTTTCTCTGGCTGTGGTACGAGGGCAATGTTGGCCTTATAGAATGAGCTAAAAGTGTTTCCTCTTCTTCAGTTACTTGGAAGAGTTTGAAGAATATTGTTGTTTGTTCTTCTCAAAGTGTTTGGTGGAATTCACAGTGAAGCCATCAGGCTCAAGGCTTTTCTCTGACGAATTGCTTTTTGAAAACAGATTCAGTCTCCTTACTTGTTTTGTTTCTGTTCAGATTTTCTGTTTCTTCTTGATTTGGTCTTGGTGGGCTTTGTGTTTCTCAGAATTTGTCCATTTCATCCAGGTTATCCAATTTGTTGGCATATGATTGTTCATAGTCCCCTCGTATAATTCCTTTTATTTTTGTAGAATCAGTAGTTACATTACTACTTTCAATTTGTATTTAGTAATTTGAGTCTTTTCTTTTTTTCTTAGTCAACATAAGTCAAGGTTTATCAATTTTGTTGATCTTTTTGAAGAACCCACCCTTGGTTTTATTGGTTTTTCTATATTGTTTTCCTATCCTCTATTTTATTTATCTCTGCTCCAATCTTTATTGTTTCTTTCCTCCTGCTAGCTTTGTGTTTAGTTTGTTCTTTTTTTTTTCCTGGTTCCTTAAGTTGTATAGTTAGGATGATGATTTAAGATCTTTCTTCTTTTTAATGTAAACATTTATAGCTAAAATGTTCTCCTTAGCGCTGCTTTCATGGCATTCCATAAGCTGTGGTATGTGCTTTTCCATTTTTAGTCATCTCTAAATATTTTATAGTTTCCTCTGTGATTTGTTCTTTGATCCGCTGGTTGTGGAAGAGTGTGATAGATAATTTCTACAAGTTTGTGAATTTTTCAGTTTTACTTCTGTTATTGATATCTAATCTCATCCAGCCGTGGTCAGAGAATATACAGCATACGATGTTCATCTTTTCAAATTTTGAGACTTAAGATATGACCAAACACTTGCTTTATCCTGGAGAATATTCCATGCGTATTTGAGAAGAATGTGTATTTCGCTGTTGTTGGGCGGTGTTCTGCATATGTCTGTTAGATCTAGTTGGTTTATTATGCTGTTCAAGTCCTCTATTTCCTTACTTACGTTCTGTCTGGGTGTCCTACTCATTACTGAGAATGGAGATTAATCTCTTCTACTATTATTGTATAACTGTCTTCAATTCTGTCAAGTTTTGCTTCATAGATTTTGATGGTCATTCATTAGGTTAGTACCTTTACATACACTTTTGCTGTATTGAGTCTTTTATGAATACATAATGTCCTTCTTTGTCTTTTGTAATCTCTTCTTATTTAAAGTCTATTTTACCTGATAGTAGCATAGCCGCCTCTCTTTTGGTTACTATTTGCATGGAATATCTTTTTTCATACTTTCACTTTCAACCTGTGGGTGTCTCTGGATCTCTAGTGAGTCTCTTATGGACATCGTATAATCAGATCGTGTTTTTAAAATCTATTCTGTCAATTTCTGACTTCTTACTGAAGAGAGTAATCTATTTACACTCAAAGTGATGACTGATAAGGAGAGACTCACTTTTGTCATTGTGCTATTTGTTTTCTATACGCCTTATAGCTGTTCTGCCTCTCATTTCCTCTATTTGACTTCTGTTATCTTTAGTTGACTTTTATTAGGGAAACATGAAAATTCCCTTATCATTTCCTTTTGTGTATAGTCTATTTCATTTGTGGTTACCAGGGAGAGTACATTAAATATCCTAAAATTATAATACTCTAATTTGAATTTATACTAGCTTAACAGGAATCGCATCCAGAAACTCTGCTCCTGTACAGCTCTGTTCCGTCTCCATTCAGTTACTGCTGTCACAAAATTACGTCTTTGTGCCTTGCATATCCAAAAACATAGACTAAAAACTTTTTTATGTAGTAATATCTTAAGTTATGTAGAAATAGAAAATGGAGTTACAAACCAAAGTTATAACAGAACTAGCTTTTATAATTTTCCATATATTTACCTTTACCAGTGATCATTATTTCTCCATATGGCCTTGAGTTATATCCTATTATTGTATCATTTCAACTTGAAGGACTTCCTTTAGCATTTCTTGCAGGACCGGTCTTGTGGCCACAAACTCCTTCTGCACTTGTTTATCTGGGAGTGCCTTAGTTTCTTCCTCATTTTGGAAGGACATTTTTGTCAGAAATAGGATTCTTGGCTGACAGCTTTTTCCTCTTCAGCACTTTGAATAGACAAACCCATTGCCTTCTGGCCTCCAAGATTTCTCATAAGAATTATGCTTATAATTGTACTGGGGATCCTTTGTATGTGATGTCTCTTCTCTCTTATTGCTCTCAAAATTCTCTCTTTGTCTTTGACTTTCAACAGTTGAATTGTAACATGCCTTGGTGTGGGTCTTTTTGAGTTTATCCTACTCGGAGTTTGTTAAGCTTCTGGATGTTTATATTCACACCTGTCATCAAATTTATAAAATTTTGGCCATTATTTCTTCAAATAATCTCTCTTCCTCTTTCTTTCTCTCTCTTCCCTTTCTGGGATTCCCATGATATGTATGTTGGTTTGTTTGATGATGTCCCACAGGTCCCTTAGGCATTTTTCTTTATTCTTTTTTCTTTCTGTTCTTCACTTAATAATTTCAACTGTCCTGCCTTCATGTTTGGAAGTTCTTCTTCTGACCATGCTAATAGCCGTTTGAATCCCTATAGTGAATTATTTATTTAGTTATTGTACTTTTCAGCCCCAGAATTTCGTATATAATCATCTTTATCATAATTCATGAATACATTAGAGACTGACATAGATTTTCTTTACTAAGACAACTGGGTTCTCTTGGGCATCTGTTTTCCACTCATTGTTAGAAAATCCAGTTTACTTCAGAATGGTAAAAAAAAGGCCAAGTAATATCTTAGTGTTATTATGACAAGTTTCCAGTTTATAGGAAACCTGGAGGGTTTCTGGACCTCCCAGGTCAAGAAACCATATAGACCTGCCCTCATTCAAGTGTCTTCTGGAATTCCTTAAAAATTTCAGCTGTCCCCTGGGCAGCAGGCTATTCTATTACTCTGCTGGTTTTTAAGGTGCAGTTCTAGGGTTAAACTCCGTGCCTATTTTCAAACTGTCCAGGCTTATCTTCCAAGACTAGTGTATTATTCACTTTACCAACTCTCCCTGCCAAACAAATACTTAATGGGTTGGAGGTCCTTTCTTTGGTAAACTGCATATGTGTTAACTGAAAAGTTAGGTGAGGCTTCTCTTCTCTCCCCAAATCAAGTTATTTGGAATCTCGAATGAACACTCATTCTAAATAGTATGAGTCCCAGGGAAAAGGCTGGTTGGTGGACACAGAGTACCAGACTTAGAGCTGACGAAGCAGGTGGTTAGGAACATTCACCAAGAACTGCAAACCTAGGGCAGTGGTCTTTTCCGGAAAACCAGAATTTCTTTTTGGTTCTGTTTTATTTTTTCACTTTACTGATCATTCCATCATGTTCATACATTGTGTTCTCGACTTTGTCCACATCTTATTTTAGTTATTTGAGCATCTCTAAGTCAGTTGTTTTAAAGCGTTTGTCTAATACATCCATTGTCTGGTCTTCCTCAGGGACAGGGTCTGTTGATTAATTTTTGTTGCCAGGTGTGGGCTGTATCCTTCTGATTCATTGTATGTTTTGTGATTTTCATTGTTGTTGTTGTTGAAAAATGGACATTTGAGTCCACAGTAACTCCAGAGATCAGATTCTCTCCCTTCCCCAGGGTTTCCCTATTTATTTATTTTTTGTTAGAGAATTTGATTGTTGATGGTGTCTCTGTTCTGGGGATCAGCCTGAGGTGTAAAGTTAAAGCCTTACAGATCTTTTCTGAGCCTGCATCTTTCTCTGGGCGTGTGTGATAACTGACTAAATTCCCCTGTATTTGTGGTTGTATTTGAATGTCCCATTTCTTAAATATCTGGCTCTCAAAAGGAGAAACAGGGAAATATGAAGGGGAAAAACCATTAATCAGGCATTTGCCCTTTAGATATCTTGGAAATCGCTTAAGCTTAAGGTGGTGAAGTTTACAAGGACGTCTGACGCTGTGTCTGCACTACAGATATGAGACGCAGCAATGACTAATCAGAACACAAATACCTGAATTTAAGGGTTGGGGTCCTTATAGCCTACCCTGGGCCCTGCAAGCTGTGTGTAAGCTGTTCCTGGGAGTCATACGTGGCTGCCTGCCACAGGGCTGGGAGGATAAGCTATGGATAGCCCTTGCCAGGCTAAGAGCTGAAATTGATCTGAATTAACCACAGTTTCCCATCCAAGTCTTTCTCCGGAAGCTTCAACCCTCTATAGAACCCAAAGTTCCAAAGTAATTACATCAGACAGATTCTGCCAGTGTGGTTGTTTTCTAGGTGGGGAGATGGAATCCTGGTGCTTCCTACCTCACCATCTTCCCTGATGTCACTTGCAGGTTTTCTGTTAGAGGAGAAGGGCTCAGGCCATGGAGATGCCCTGCACGTGGCTTCGAGGGTGTGCATTTAGAGATTCACATGTGCACGTCCATGTGGGCTGCGGTCACACTCCCGCTTGTTAGACTGTGGCTGTGCCAAACTGGGGATGATAGGAAGGGGTAAAATTATGTGTGCGTACATGTCTCTGTGTTTGTGTGTGTGAGTGTGTGTGAGTGTATTCAGGTAGGTGGCATGTGATGCTCTGTGCTTGTCCCTCCATGGGTGTGTTCTGTGCACGTACCTGTGATTACACCCTGATGCGTGTACCTTGGAGAGTGTACCTCTGGAGGGTACGCCTCCAGCCATAGGTGTGTGTAATGGAACTGTACGTGTAACTCTGTGAGCCTGTCCCCCTGTACCTCCGTGTGTGTATCTCTCGAGCATGAGCTGGAGCGAGGCCCTTGGGGTGCGTCTGGCTCTGGCCTCACTGACTGTCCTCCATTCCAGGACTCGTACCTGCTGGACTATTTCCTGTTTCTGAACCGCTACTTTGAGGTGGGGGCCCCGGTCTACTTTATCACCACTGGGGGCTACAACTTCTCCAGTGTGGAAGGTATGAACGCCATCTGCTCCAGCGCAGGCTGCAACAACTTCTCCTTAACCCAGAAGATCCAGTACGCCACTGAGTTCCCTGACGAGTGAGTGCCCCGGCCCACCCATCTGCTCCCCACTCCCCTCCAGTTCCCGCTTCCTGCCTCCCTGCCCCTGCCCTGCTGCCCACCTGCTGCCTTGTGCCTGGGGGGACCCAGAGTAGGGGCTGGACCATAAGAAGGCTCTCTGCCACTGCCTGCCTGTCTGGTCCTGTTCCCTGACCTCCTCTCCCCGGCCCCCTAGGTCTTACCTAGCCATCCCTGCCTCCTCCTGGCTGGATGACTTCATTGACTGGCTGTCTTCATCCACCTGCTGCCGCCTTTATCTCTACGGTCCCAATAAGGATGAGTTCTGCCCCTCGACCGTCAGTGAGTGTGTGGCCTCTATGGGCTCAGGGGAAACTGAGGCGAGAGAAAGGAGAGGACTGGCAGAGGATCTCTTAGCCCCTCTCGCCCTCCTGCAGGGTCAGTCAGGGTGGGGACCAGTCTTGGAGCACACGTGTAGGGGACTGCACATATGTGTGGACGCCCAGCTGGCCTGCTGGGCAATCACACACTCACGCCCCTCCTGACTTGTGCCCATGCTCACGGGGCATGCTGGGGTTGGCACACGGCCCCGCCCTTGAGCAGCTGTGTTTGTAGGTGGAGAGTGGAAGCCTCGCGGGGGCTGTTTCTCTGCCCCAAACTTCCCTTTCTTGCCTGCCTGTAGGTGCAGAGGTTTCCATAACTGCGAGGGGAACTCCTCCCATAGTTAGACACAAATGCAAATCCCTCTAGAGCACACACACCTGTTACAGCAGTGAGCGTGCCGGGACATCGGGATGGGAAAGGAGCAGAAGAGGGTGGAGCAGCGGCTGCCTGGCCCTGGGGGTGCCGCTGGCTGGAGCCCCCGCTCTGTTTGCAGGCTCCCTGGCCTGCCTGAAGTCCTGCGTGAGCCTCACATCAGGGCCTGTCCGGCCATCAGTGGAGCAGTTCCACAAATATCTTCCCTTGTTCCTGGACGACCCGCCCAACATCAAATGTCCCAAAGGGTAGGCCAGGATGGGGGGGGGTCCGCTGGGGAGGATGGTCGTGTAGAGGGGCAGGAGGCAGTGTGGGGGCCCCTGGAGGCGGCTATGGGCCAGGCAGACGGAGGGGTCCCGATCCTTGGCTAAGCCTGCTCTGGGTTCCTCCCTGCAGAGGCCTGGCAGCATACAGCACCTCCGTGAATCTGAGTTCAGATGGTGAGGTTTTAGGTAAGCATGGCCTTGACTGGAGGGGAAGACCAGAGTCAGCTGCCCTGGAGGCCCCATGGGTCCCAGGGAGCAGCTTCTCAATCTCAAATCTTCTCTCCTTCCTCCTTCATGGGGTGGGGGTGGGGGGTTCCTAACCGCCCTGGCCCTGTCCTCTTAGTTCACGTTACCCAGCTCCACATCCTCAGACTTCACACCGTGCCCGCCCTGCTTCCTTCTCCCCACCCCCAAATCCATGGTCAGCACCACATTCATGGAATCTGGGAGCCATCCATGCCCTTTCCTCTCCAGCACAAGTGACACCCAGACGTGAGCAGTGGACAGTTGGTTAAATGAATGACTATTAAACTTAGTTATGCAGTGGTTGCCCCAAAGCACAGCTCTGTTAAGGCAACTGTTTCTGTTTTTCTGTCTCCCTTTCTGGTCCTTTCCTCCAGGAATATGTACATTAGGAAAGCAAATTACTTTTAAGAAATCAATGCCTATTTTGAGACCATACAGAGCAGCATTTGGGTTCATCCGGGAGGTGTCTTTAATTTCCATCCATCGGGAGGGCAGGGCCGGGACACAGCGTTGGGACCAGCTGCAGAGTATGCAGGGCTGGGGCAAAAGCAAAATGCACGGCTGCTGGCTCAAAATATATTAAAATTCCCCAATGGTGGCGGCAGAGCCCCAAACCCAGCCAGGCGCCATCCGTCGGGGGTTCTGAGGGTGCCTGGCACGGGCTCTGACCTTGGCAGCCTCGCGGTTCATGGCCTACCAGAAGCCGCTGAAGAACTCGCAGGACTTCACGGAGGCGCTGCGGGCAGCTCGGGCGCTGGCGGCCAGCATCACTGCTGATTTGCGGAAGGTGCCAGGCACGGATCCGGACTTCGAGGTCTTCCCCTACACGTGAGGCTCTGGGCGCCGGGCAGCGGGGACGTGGGCCCGGATGAGGGCGCTGGGCTGGTGGTAGGCTGGGGATGGACTCCAGCCGGGAGGCACCTGCTGCCCCTGGGCCAGGGTGCCCCCATGCCCTCCCCGAGCTGAGGTCTCACCCCGAAGTGGGCGTTGGGGGTCTCGGAGCAGTGACTGTGCTCTGCTCCCCCCGGCAGGATCACCAACGTGTTCTACGAGCAGTACCTGACTGTGATCCCCGAGGGGCTCTTCATGCTCAGCCTCTGCCTGGTGCCCACCTTCGTTGTCTGCTGCCTTCTGCTGGGCATGGACATCCGCTCTGGCTTCATCAACCTGTTCTCCATCATCATGATCCTGGTGGACACCGTGGGCTTCATGGCCCTGTGGGACATCAGCTACAATGCCGTGTCCCTCATCAACCTGGTCACGGTAACCCGCTGCCACAGGGCGGGGACTCCAGGGCAGGAGGGGTGCCGGCCTCAGGACCCCTCTCAGTTCTCTCTAGAGTCTAGGTGCTGCCCTCTGGCCTGGGCGGAGACCCCTGCCCTGGCCCCTTTATGGCTGAATTGCCCTCTCTCCCCACAGGCGGTGGGCATCTCTGTGGAGTTTGTGTCCCACATCACCCGCACCTTTGCCATCAGCACCAAGCCCACCCGGCTGGAGAGGGCCAAGGAGGCCACCATCTCCATGGGCAGCGCGGTGAGTGGATGGGCTGCCTCATGTAGCCCTCGGCAGGCTGCCCTGTGCTCGGCCTGACACCCACCTGTGACCCCTAGGTGTTCGCAGGAGTGGCCATGACCAACCTGCCCGGCATCCTCATCCTGGGCTTGGCCAAGGCGCAGCTCATCCAGATCTTCTTCTTCCGTCTCAACCTCCTCATCACTTTGCTGGGCATGCTGCACGGACTGGTCTTCCTGCCGGTCATCCTCAGCTTCCTGGGTGAGTGCCCAGGCCCCTCTGACACCGCCAGGCCCCTCCTGCAGGACTCCAAGCTGCAGGCAGAATGCAAGAAACCCTCACAGCCCCGCTCACCTGGGGCGGCCACTGCCCACATTGTGAGCACACGGTTCTTCCTGATTGGAAGCTGCAGTTTTTTCACTTAGCATGTGAAACATCTTTCTTTGTCAGATGTGTGTTTCAGACACTTCCAGTGGCCATATGGCTCTCCATTGCATGCTCTTGAACTTTTAATCATGACCTTCAGCCAGAAATACATTCCACACTGAGAGGTGACGTGTACAGGCACAGACATGGACATGCAGAACAGAACAAGCCTTTCACAAAACAACACTGCCTGAGAAGCCTCTGATGCTTTCAGTTCTATCATTGATTTTTTTTTTAAATGCCAGTGTTATCTACGAAACTGATTTCATGACTCATTAATGGGTAACAAGTTGTAGTTGGAAAATATATCCTTTCCTATGGGTCAGCCACGATCCCTTTAAACAGCTCCCAGGTTCTGGACATTAGATTATTTCTGACTTTCCACTGTTACTGCCGGCGCCGGTGTGACGACCTTCCTTGTGGCTGAGTCTTTGACCTCATCCCCCAATATTTCCCAGAGCAAGTCCAGTCCATGAATGTTGATTGTTCATGCCAAGTGTTTACCCCCTCCGGAAAGTTTCACTATTTAAACCTCTACCAGCAACATGTACATTTCTGCTTCCTCATTATTGAGCACAGTCATTTACACACCTCCTACCCTCACAGAAATTTAGACTGGGCGCCCAGGGTTAAGTGTCCTCTGGCCCTCAGGGTGGGCAAGCTGAGAGCAGTTTTTGCATTTCTCCCCGACACCCAGAACAAGCATAATGGTAGTCTTAGAGAAAACATTTGTAGAAGGGTGTGTTTGTGCTCAATATATGTGCAGTAATCTTCCTATCAGCCCTGGAGGTAGGTGATGCTTTCATTCTCATTTTACAGATGAGGAAACTGAGACTCTTGCCAGGGGTTAGATGTAGATGGTGGCTGAAATGGCTACTGGCTTTTGGGGGTAGGATGGATCCAGGGCTGGGGTGAGGAGGTGAGGGGCTTAAGATTTAGCTCCCTCTCCTGAACTGCCTTTTTCAGTTGCAACAAACGCCTGCGCCCCGCACCCAGCATGCCGCCTCCCTGACCGTGGTCCTCTGTATCTGTCCCTCTGCAGGGCCTGATGTCAACCCAGCTCTGGTGCTGGAGCAGAAGCGGGAGGAGGAGGTGGTCACGGTCAAGGAGGCCCCCTGCTCAAAGCACCCTGACACGATGAGCACTGGCGGCGGCGTCTATGTCAACCATGGCTTTGAACATCCTGACAGGAGTGCGGAAGGCCTCGAGAGCTCTTGGCCACACAACAGGCAGAAGCTCTGATGGAGCCTGAGCTCCTGTCCAAGCTCACTGGTCCTGACCTGAGAAGCCATGAGGGTTCTCCCATGGGGGCTCCCTTGCCACATCCGCCCCCTCAGGGCCTGAGACAGGCTGTCCTCACAGGAGTGCCCATGATAGGATACCCTCTGGCCACCAGTTCTCACCCATAAGACACATGACTGTGATGGAGGTGGCACATGATGGCATGGGTGTGATCTGTTCCTGGTCTGTCTCTTGAATTTGACATGTGTCCTCCTTAAGCAAGTTTTGAAACTTTAGTTCTGTATATGTAAACAATATATAATATTATTTCACATCGAAAATTTTTTCTTAATTGATATCATACTTGACTAATCCTTTTGCAATGAGGGTTTTTTTTTTCATGCAACATACATTTTTTTAGATTTATTCATGTTGATACGTGGAGATCTAGTCCAATCATTTGAACTGCCACACAGCATTCCATTGTGTTAATGAACATGGGGTTTTTATCCCTTCCCCTGCTAGTGGGCAATCAGATTGTCCTCAACTATTTTTCTTCTATAGGACCACAGTCACTTGTGTGGAATTCAGAATCCCCAAAGCTCTAAAAACCTAGTGTGTTTGTCTTATTTTTTCATTTGTAAGTTTGGGACAAACACATTTGGTGGCAAAAACTAATCAGACAAGACGTGCCTATTTATACTCTTTATAAATAGAATATTTATACTCGGTGTGAATGGTCATTATATTTTAGTGCATTGAATGAGTCTGATGCTGTGATACTGCCCCAGATCCTGAGGAGGGGTCTAATATTGTGTAAGCATTAAATTGCCTTTCTTAACAATGTTCTAAATTCTGAAAGTCAGCCCACCTATGGGATTTCAGGTATGGAACCATGAGCGTGTGTTTGCCCGCCTCCTGTCTATGTGTGGGAGAGTTACCAGCTCTGGACCGACACAGACACATGCCTCCCACAGCGGCTGCCCTATTCACGCTCTCACCAGCAGCGGACGAGGGCTGCCTCTCTCCCTTTACCAGTACCAACTCCATGCTTCCGCTTCCTTTTGGTGGGAGTGGGTACGAGGATGAATGATTATCCCTTTTTAAAAATATATTTAAAAAAAGAAAACGTTTTTATTTTAGACTAGTTTTAAAGAAAAATTACAAAGATAGTACAGAGAGATTCTATATGCCCCACAGCCAGTTCACCCTACTAACATACTACATTCGTATGATACGTTCGTCAAGGTATAATTAATGAACCAGTAGTGATAATTAGGACTAATTTGAGTCCATACTTCGTTTAGATTTCCTTAGTTTTTATCTAGTGTCTATCCTTTATTCCTTTATCTGTGTGGGGGTCCCATCCAGGACACAGCATTCAATCGTTATGTCTACTTAGGCTCCTCTGGGCTGTGACAGTCTGTCAGACTTTTCTTTGCCTTGTTTTTGATGACCTGGCTAGTTTTGAGGACTGGTCAGGCATTTTGCAGACTGTCCTTCCAATGGGGTTTGTCTGGCACTTTTCTTCTGGTTAGACTAGGGCGATGGGTTTTGGGCAGGGCCACCAGAGGTGGAGCACCGTTCTCAGCACATCACGTCAGGGGCGTGTGCTATCGCCGTGACTCATCGCTGTGAGGTTGACCCTGATCACCTGGCTGAGGTTGTGTCTGTCCGGCGTCTCCTCTGTACAGTTACCTCGCACCTGTTTCCATGCTGCGCTCTTTGGAGGGAAGTTGTTAGGCACGGCTCACACTTAGGCAGTGCGGAGTTATGCTCTACTTCCTGGAGGGTGGAGTGTATACTTATGTTACTTGGAATTCTGAACAGGAAAATTGTCTATTCCCCTCCATTTATTTATTTATTTGGTATTATGTGTATGTATATATGTATCAGTATCAACTCATGAATATTCATTTTGTAATTTGGGTTCTAATATAACACTACTTTATTTTGTGGATTAAATTGTTCCATTTTGGCCACTGGGAGCTCTTTCAATTGGCTCCTATGTCTTTTTGTCGTACTCCCATCATTGTGGGGTTTTTCCGTTTTTGAGCACTTCCTTCTTGCTGGCACCCCAAGATGTCCCAGGCTCAACTTGTATATTTCTGCCCTGGTCCTAGAGTCAGCCATTTCTTCAAGAACTTCTAGCCCTTTTATTCTAGGTAGGATGAGAAAGCAGGATCTGGGTGCTCAATGTGTGTGTTGCTGCTGGAGCATTGTTGCTTCTAGGTCCTCTCAGCTGAGAGAGTAAGCAAATATATGCATGTATATATGTGTGTATACCGACCCATGTATATACACATTTGTATAAATATTTCTATATGTAGCCATCTGTATCTATATTAAACTAAACAAGAGTTTATGCTGATACCTCCAGCTCTAACCCATAACCACACAAGTCACTCTAGACTCCTCTCTTGCTTATTGGTAACCTCCCAGGCCAACAATGAGAAGCCTGGCTCTACCACCCTCACTGTTTACTTAATTATTCCTTTCCACTATACATATGTAGTATTCTCAGAAATAATAACCCATACCACTGTGAAAAACAACTTTAGATTTAATGTCTATGTGCAGTTCCTTTTGCCTTTCGTCTTTCCAATGCCATTCATTTCCAAATTACTTAGGTCAGCATTTTTTTCTACCATCCCTTTCAGAGTCTGTTTTGTACATTTGTAATACTGTTAGATTCTTGTGCCACATTCTTCATTCTATTCTGGTGTTACAATATCATGCATGTTAAAGATTTTTGGGGGAGGCAAGAGAACACGACCCTGGGTCATGAGCTGGACTCAGGCAATGGGAGACTTGTCACCACTTCCCCTGTCCATGGAATGTAAGCTCTGCCTAAATTCCTACAGTGGGAACTGTTTTTAGGGATACAGCCTTGAGAGAATAAGGTGTTGTTGAGATCATCTGCTGGTGCACATGACTGAACCCAGTTTGGGGTTCTATATAAACTTCTAAGATTCTGGCAGGTGAGCAAGGAGATCTACTGGTCTGTGGCTGCCCGGGACAACCTCTTATGTAACTTCCCTTGCTTACTTACATAGCAGCAACCCTGCTACCTACCAATATGAAGTGGTCTGTCTCTTTCTTCGGACTTTCCTTGCCCTGTGTGCGTGGGCGCTAGTTTGTGAACCAACAAAGATCTATTCAAAGTATAGGACAGACCAATGGCTATTAATGTGACAAAGTAGGAAATGTTCATTGGTATGGTTCCAGATTCCATATTGCAACTAACCTTTGAGAAACTACAACCTGCCAAATTTTGGTATAGCTTCAAATAATACTCACATTTATTTGAAAAGACAATTGAACTACTATTTGTGTGAGACTGAGTTTCTTCATATACTTCAATCAAAAGAATATATTGTGGGGGAGGATATAGCTCAAGTGGTAGAGTGCATGCTTAGCATGCACAGGTCCTGGATTCAATCCCCAGTACCTTCTCTAGAAATAAACCTAATTACCTCCCCCACCCCCACCAAAATAAAATAATGAATAAATAAAATATTTTCTAAAAAGAACATACTGCAATGCACTGAATGCAGCAGATGTGAGAATCTTGCTGTCTTCAATTAAACTACACAGTAGAGATTTGCAAAAATTTAAAAGGATGCTATGCTTCTCATAAACTTTTATTGCTTTGAAGAACACTATTCATAAAAATATGTTAACATGTAATATGTTTTTATGGTTATTAAAATGCATAAGTAAAGATTTTAAAAATTGTTTTAATTTCTAATATGGTAACTATTGATAAATCAAATCCACATAAAATATTGAAGACTCTGAAATCTTCAACAAATTTTAAGGATGTAAATAGGTCTTAAGCTCAAAAAGTTTCAAAACCACTGCTCTAGGGAAATTTATCTGAGTTTACAATTCATTACAGCCCACATACTATGAAGTTATATGTTAACTTGTAGCTATTAGGCCAGTAGAGATGCAAATATTTCTAACCACTAGAAAAGATAATCTATATCATTTTGTAGGACACCAGCCAGCTTTATATAAAGCCTAGCAATCTTATTCTGTTTTCTCATAATGTTTATAAATACCCACTTCCTCCAAAAGCTTCTCTGAAGTAGCTTCATCACCGGTTACTTTGTTAATTAAATTATATAAATCTTTGACTTGTGTTCATTATATATTTGTATGAGTGTTATGTTTTTAGCTTCTGTAAGATTATACTTTCACAGATACTTGGGACACTTATACATGCTGTGTGTATGTATGTATATATATATATATATTGCATACACATGTATATACTACACACACATACGTGTATTTCACGGGCTGGGATACCACGTTCTCTATTCTGCACTTAGCTCTTTCCATTTAATATTCGCGCATGCACTCACTTGACATTGTTTTCTTCTTTTATTTATGCACGTGCCCTTGCCTTTCACCCACAGCTCCTTTATTAACAGGACACAAACGACTCGCATGCTCGCATTATCCTCTGCTGACGCACTAGCAAAAGGCTCTCGCTGTCCCGCCGGTAACCTGAGGCTCGGGACACCCATTCGGGAACGCCGCCTACCGATCACGTGACCGCACCGGGGATCACGTGACGCTGCCCGCGCTGCACCTCTTCCGCCCGTCTCCAACAGGGCCACTAGGCGCTCTCAGCCCTGTAGCCCCGGGTCCTCTTGCACCTAGTAGCCCATTTTGGGGCCCACGTTGGCTACTTAGTGAGACTGCTCCGGGAAGCCAGAGGGGCGGTGGGGACCGGGCCGGGGCCGGGGCCGGGGCAAGTCCGCTCAAGCGCAGTGGGACCCAGCCCCACCGCGGGGCCGAACGACCGCGGACCGGAAGTTCACGGGCGCGCTAGAGGCCGGAGCCGTTAGTACAGCGCGCCGGAAGTGGCCGTAGGCCGGCGTCCGGGCCGCGCCCGCAGTGATTGAGCTTCTCTCCGGCCGGCGACGCCATGGAGCCCGGGGCAGCGGAGCTGTACGACCAGGCCCTGCTGGGCATCCTGCAGCACGTGGGCAACGTCCAGGACTTTCTGCGCGTGCTGTTTGGCTTCCTCTACCGCAAGACGGACTTCTACCGCCTGCTGCGCCACCCGTCGGACCGCATGGGCTTCCCGCCGGGGGCTGCGCAGGCGCTGGTGCTGCAGGTAACGCGCGGCGGGCGGGGGGTGGTCTCAGAGTGGGATGTGGGGAGGCTGTGGGAGCCCCGGCCCCCGTAAGCCTACCCCGCTAGCCCCCGACTCCCGCGAGCCCCTCACTCCCTCCGCTCCCGGCCACCAGTTCATCCTCTGCAGCTTCCCCGGACCCGCCTCCTGGGGCCGCAGCTTCAGCCAAGACGCTGGTCGCATATCAGGTTACCCTCCTGCGGGAGAGGGACCAATTCTCAAGCAGCCGGATTCGGCAAAGGGTGCATTTGGGTATCAGAAGTAGTACATCGACACTCAGGGCCCCGGTCAGCGCTCGGCAGTGCAGGTGTCAGGACCT